CTGTCCATTTGATTCTTCCGGGTAACTCATGATGTCATGCGTTGACCCGGAACCAAATGGACCAATCCGTGGAGCCGTTACGTTAAGCCCCCGCTGATTGGTCCAAATTGACCAATCCACGGACTTCCTCACACACACACACTCAGTGCAGGCAGCTCTGCTGATTTCTCCTCCCTGGCTGCAGGCTGATAACAGACAGTTGGGATCGCGGCGAAATTCTCTCTGCAGACCCATTCTCTCTGCAGACCCATTCTCACTGCAGACCCATTCTCTCGCGGTGAAATTCTCTCTGCAGACCCATTCTCACAGCGTTTATCAACCTTTTTCTTACTCAATATCAAGCCACACTTATTGTTTTTACTTCGGCTGTGACTTTGTGTGTGCTCAGGATGAGTTTGGCTGTGTTTCGCTAAACAAGGAAACCACACCTCCACGGAGCTCAGCGCGATTCACAACGTCCCGACCAATCAGAGCACACTGTGCTCACAGGGAGGGTGGGGGCTGGAGCTACTGGAGCTACAACGAGCCGTTAAAGGCAGAGAGTGAAATTCAGTGAATACACGTAGTTTACAGAGATGCTGTATGAGAAACCAAAGTGATTTTGGAAAATTGCACAATATAAATCTATTCTAGTAGACCTCAACAATGGAATTATGATCAGTGGAAATGGCCACGACATGGGACCTTTAACACTTTCTAAATCTTGTAGTACTCACATGTGAGATGTCCAGACAGAGTACAGGCAGCTTGTGTCCATACAGAGACAAGAAGAACTGCAGCAGGGAGAGGGAGAAATGTTACAAAACAATATATGCATATGTTTAATGAATGAATGATACTCTTAGTATGCCGTGTTTTCAGTGCAGTGTACCTTCAGAGTGTCTGTGTAGAAGACTTTGACCGTGCAGTCCAACAGAGAGACGGCCAGCAGGCGGTTGTCAGGAGAAAACTTCACACACAGAATGTCTTCCTCCAGCTGCAGCGTGCGTGTGTGATTCACTGTCAGCCGCCTATAACACGTACACACAAATACTTAACCATGAGTAATGTCTCTCAGTCTGGTTGCTGAGCATTTGGTGCTTTGCCAAGATATTGCCAATTGAAACAAACACACGCAACATATTTTAAATTAACATATTCATATTTAGAAGTGAGAACATGCTGACTACTGTAGCATCTTCTACCATCTCTAAAGTAAACAGCCAAATAAAAAGTAGAAACAATTTATAATAACAATTAAAGCTGAATTAAACCTTAAAATAAAAAACATTAGACAATCATTTTTGTCCCAGGAGGCAATATCTGAAGATCTGTGTTGCAGTTGAGTAATTCATTCGAGGTGCAAGGAAACATAGGATGGTCCGAAATAAACTGTCCTGATATTTAAACATTGAACAGAGTGGTGACTTACTTCTGTCCGCTACTGCTTCCTTCGTCCTTTATCAGCTCAAACTCCCAGAACTTCACCTTCTTATCTGCACTTCCTGTGACAATCCCCCTCTACAGGAATGACGACACGACAAATGAGAACAGAAAACACAGCTGGTTAGAGTAACGGTACGACATGGTAGGGGATATTTATTTATTTAATTTTTTTTTTTATTGAGTCAGGCACAATGAGTTTACATTTATATAGTCAATATATATATATTTTTTGTTCCCCTTTCCCCCCCTCCCGATCCTAGCTAGTAAATTAAATAACTAACTAAATAAAATAGAAACATGTATAGGTAAAAGTAAAGTAATGTAGAAGATAATATTAAAAGAAAAATGTATAGGTAAGGGAATAAAGAATAGTAACAGTAATACATGTACCCATATACTCAGTTGGTAGGGGATATTTATAAATAGATTTCTGCAGGGGGTGTACCTGGTCCGGGGCGAGGCACAGGGACCACAGAGCTCCACTGTGAGCGTCCACCGTCTCCAGGAGGCTCCCAGAGGCCAGCTCAAAGATCTGCAGTTTCCCGCTCTGACAGGAAAAACAGGCCTCAGTTAACACAAAGTAGAAACTAAACAAGACTTTATCAGTCCAGTAACCATGTCTTTTCAAGCCAAGTTATAAAGTGAAACACAAAACAGACTCCAATAAAAAGGCAGAATCTGTTACCTTGGTTCCCAGGATGATCTGCCTGTCTCCGGGCACGAAGAGCGAGCAGAGAGCGTATTCACAGGCCATGGTGCGGATCACCTGCAGAGTGGACCTGAAACAGACAACGACTCAGATGTTATAGTTTGTTTCACCTTCATGACTGCATTGGAATTGTGTGTTAGCTAATGAGCTCATTTCAGCTGTAGTCCCTTTGCAATCTCTTACAAAGGGGGCCGAATGTTATCAATGCAATGCTTCAGCTGCACCACAGTACAGCACAATACAATACAATACAATACTTAAATGAATTAGTATTCCAGAGATGAGGTAGTTTGATAACTGTGCTTTGAAGCCATCTCTTAGGTTAATTTGAGGTAATTACTTTTCTTTCTCATTTTATTAGAAGGACTGTTAGTGGGTGGATTGTACTGAGCAGATGTTTTTCAGAACATGCTACGACGTCTTTATTGTACAACATGGTTCCCTCTGCCTTCCTACCATACTTCCTTTTGCATTATGGTGCAAGCCCATGTTAACCCTTACGGTACGTCCACACAGCAGCTTTAAAAAAATCTTCCAACGCTTCTCTGCCCATTGACTTTGAATGGGGTGACGTCACTTTGCCTCGCTTTTCGCCCAACTGCATTGTGGGGAAGCAAAGCGAAGATTTCCAGGATTTTTTTTAAGGATTCAAAAGTTGAGCAATGTTCAACTTTTGAAGCTGAGCTGGAAGCGTCAGCCAAACAAATCCCGTTTATGCAAATCTGACAGTACAAGCGCTAGCCAATCAAACCGCGTGCAAGCTGGGAGAGACATACCGCAGTTCATTTCCTCATATTCCAAACGAGAAATTACGGTAGCAAATCACCCGGTTCTTTACGACCAGTAACTATTTACCGGGATACAACCCGGAGGAACCAGGCATGGAGGGAGGTGGCAGAGACAGTGGGTGAAACTGGTAGGTTTTCGCCTGTTTGGGGATTTTATATCCAGTTTACTTCGTTTTAACATTGCTATTGCTTTGTATGTCGGGGGCGGGAGATTCATGTGATTGGTTGTTGGTCGCGTTGCTCGCAAAAAATTCCCAAGCTTCAGATACGCCCACCGCCAAGGGTCAACGCACGTCGCTGTGTGGACGTGCAATTTACTCCGCGCGAGTTGGCGGACTTTATTTTGCTTACTTAAACATCATTTTTCAAAGTGGGGCTAAGCCATTTCTTGGTATGGCTGTAGCCT